TTTCCTCATCTACAAAATGGGGATGATAATCCTTGTACTGCCTATCTCACAGCGAAACTCTAATGAGATAAAGCATGAAAAAGACTTTGTAAACTTTAAAATGCCATATAAATACCCATTATGATCATTATTGTTATTACACATGGCACATAGATGCTACTCATGCATAGAAACACACATGTATACATGCATACATATACGTACACATGCACACACACATATATTCCAGTACATATGGAATTTCTCCCTAGTGATGACTGATTGGCCTGGTGGATTCTGTGGTGGTGGTCAGTTGGCCTGATGACTGGTGGATTCTAGAATTGTTGGGGTGGTCAGTTGGGCTGGGCTCTGCAGAAGCGGGAGGAGGCCACTCATTCTAGATTCCTGTAGGCCAGAGTGGCGGGAGAAGGTTGTCATCTTAGGGGCACTGGAGACTATAGCTGTGGGGTTGTGGGTTTGGGTTTGCTCAGGGACTTTCAAAGGTTGGATCAGGGAGAAAAATGCCCTGAGTTGTAGCCCGTGAGGTGAGAAGATGAGCTTGCTGAGCAGAGGAGAGGGGTATTGGAGGGGGAATGGACATGGATATTTTGGGCTAGATTTAGGATACAGGGAACCTTGGCTTAGGTTCAGTTCAGGGGCAGTTCCCAACCCTCAAGGCTTGGGGGTGGGAAGAGTTGGAGCTCATGCCAGACTCCGTGTCAGGGGGGCCCACAGTTCTGGTTGGGCAAGGGCAAAGGGGACTCCCTAAGTCAGGCCAGGCTCTGAGTGGGGGCCCAGTACAGATGGGAGGAGGTTCCTTCGAGGTTCAGGCTAGTCTGGGGGAGAGCAGGTAGAGCTCCCCCAGACTTTGGTTAGACATGGGTGAGGGGGGAAAAGTTCTCACAGTTCAAGCCAAACTTGGTATAAGGCCAACTAACAGCTTTGGTCGAGCCAGGGCAGGGGTAAGCAGCAGTGGCCTCAAGGCTGGGTTGAGATGGAAGGGGGATCAGAAGTATTCCTTCAAAGCTCTTATTCTTGGTCACTGGGCTGGGGGAACCAGAGGTTTCCCATGGCTCAGGAGCAAGGAGCACCTAGCTCTTCACAGTTGGGTTAAGAAGACTTGGTGACTCAAGGGCCTGGCAGGCTTGGCACATGTAGGAAAGGTGGTGGTGGGGAATCCATAGGATGGCCTTGGTTCTGTCATTCTTGAACTGAACATTGCAGTGGCTGCCCAGGCAGGAATAATTACTCTTCAGGGGGCTCAGGAACTGATGGCCAGTATATGAGGCGCACGGCATAGGACGGGAAGACCACTTAGCAGCTCATGCCTACCTACAACCTAAATAAGCAGGGAGCTGGAGATGATGAATGGCCGGCCCTTCCTGGGTTACAGATCATCTGCCAGGATGGGAGCAGAGGCAATATAGGCTCCACGCCTTGAGAAGCCCTTACAGCAATCAACTTGCCCCTTCACCAGGTCAGCTTCAATTATTTTCCTTTTCCTCTTTTTTTTTTTTCCGTTGGAGTGCAGGGGAGAGTGGGATGTGAAGGGAGCAGACACTTTCTCTACTGCTGAAGGGACTAGGGCAGCATGTGTCAGAGGCACAGCGTCTGGCCTACAGTAATTAATACTTATTGACTACCAGCCCTCCTCTCACCTCTCCCAGACACCAAGCTGAAAGGGACGGGGCCTGCAATTGGATTGGTAGAATGCAGGGTGGCACCTTCTGTTGACCTTTTAGTTTTAAAGAGCTGCTGGGCTCAGTGCCTAGGACAACGAGAGCTTAGGTCACATGCCTGGGGTCACACAGCCAATACGTATCAGGAGCAAGACTTGAACCCAGGCCTTCTTGACTCCAAGCCAGCTCTCGATCCACGATGCCACGGCTACCTCCTAGCAACCTACTAGCAACTTAGAGGGCTGCTTACTCAGAAGATGATGCATGAGAATGACCCTGGATATAAGCATACCAGGAAGTGTCTGTGGAATTAATGTTTTAGGGACTTTCTGAGAGAGAATACGTCAAATTACTCAGTGCAAGTCTATGTAATGGGGCTCAGCAGCGGACAGCACACTGGGCCTTGAGTCAGAAAGATGTGAGTTCAATTCCAGCCGCTGTGTGACCCTGGGCAAGTCATTTCACCTCTGCCTGCCTCAGTTTTCTCATGTGTAAAATGGGTAACAATAACAGCTACTTCCAGGGTTGTGAGAATATATTGGTGAAGCACTCTGCTGTTACATAAACAGCAGGAATTATGCAGTTAAGCCAATGTGATTTTTCTTTCCAACAGAGAAAGTCTTGGATTGCTGGATCCCTAGCAAGAAGCTTGGCTGCTGAGATAAGTGGAAAGGCCGAATCAGGGTGCGGCATTTGGGCTGACCGGAGCTGGAGAGCGTCCCGAAGTGGGCTCATTGGCTCCCCTGCTTTTCCACCTTCACCTTTGCACAGAACCTCAGGCTTGGAAGGGACCCCAGAGACCACTGAGTTGAACCGTACTGGAGTAAGAATCCCCTCCACCATAATCCCCAACTTGGCCTTGGCTTCAAAGACTTCCAAGGAAGGGGAACCCATCCTCTCTCAAGGCGCTCTTCCATTCTAGGACCGCCCTCCACGGAGCTCACAGTGGTCATTCTACAACCCCCCCTCACTGTTCCTGATTTTGCTCCCTCACCCCCCAGCATCAGTCACGTGCTCCAGGCCTTGAGAAGCCCTTATAGCAATCAACCGGCCCCTTCACCAGGTCAGCTTCAATTATTTCCCTTTTCCTCTTTTTTTTCCGTTGGAGTGCAGGAGAGAGTGGGATGTGAAGGGAGCAGACACTTTCTCTACTGCTGAAGGGACTTGGACAGTATGTGTCAGAGGCAGTGTCTGGCCTACAGTAATTAATACTTATCGACTACCAGCCCTCCTCTCACCTCTCCCAGACACCAAGCTGAAAGGGACGGCACCTGCAATTGGATTGGTAGAATGCAGGGTGGCACCTTCTGTTGACCTTTCATTCCCTCTCATTCCACCCACATGAGTCCTTCCAATACCTAAGGCAGCTACCATGTTTCCTCCAAGTCTTCTCTTTGCTGGATGAAATATCCCCAGGTTCCTTCAAATGATCCTCTTATGGCATGGTCTCAAGGCCTCTCACCATAATAGCTACCCTCCTATGTCACCCTCTAGCTTATCAATATCCTTCTTAAAATGTGGTGGCTATTTGCTGTTCACAATGATGTGGACTGTGCCTTCACTTCCCTGCTTCTGGATACTATCTCTTTTTCTAGTCTCAGTTCACTTGGGGCTTTAGTGGTCATATAGTATTTACTTTCTTAACAATCCAAGCACAGTCTAATGCTGTTGATGCGACTTTGGCTTCTTCGTGTGGTCAATCATCTCACTGGACAGGGAACAGGACTTGAAGGCAATCCCCTGAAAGCTCCAGAACTTTGTAAAGATGGCGAGAAACTGCTTCCTGGTGCCCCGGCAGGTGAAGGAGCCGGGGCAGGGGGCTCTAGAAAAGGCTGGTTTCTCAAAGTTATTGTCACTCGGGCTCCGTTTCGTTGTTCGCATTTCCCTCTTGTGTAGCACTTCTGGGCATATGAACTGAAGAAGAAGGCAACGACAGACACAGAACCACGATGGCTCCCGAACATCTTCTTGTTTCCTTTCAAGTCCTCTCCAGAACAGATTGGAAAAGGGGCAAATTGTCCCTGATCCCATGAATTGGGCTGGTGGGCTTGGGAGGTGGAGCCATGACGGGTCTTCTCAGCCTGCCCCCCTTGAGACCTGCGGGGGACTGCTGACGTGATGGGGGAGGTGGCAGACTGGGTGTGGCTCTAGGTCCAATTCCACTGTCTCCTGAGTCATGTCTGGGGCAACAAGGATGGTGCTCAGTGTTTGGCTTTCCCGACTCCCAGGGTTTGCTCACTGTAGGACTGGGCAGCTGGTGGGTTGGGTACGGGCAAGGGAATAGTCTGGCCCAGCTGCAGGGACAAGTGGGAGCTCAGCCTCTATTAACAACTCTCTTACTCGGCTTGGCAGGAAAATCCTCTGGTATCCTGTTGGTGACCAAAGCCTAAACTGAAACCATTAACGGCTACTGCATCAAAGTGATCAGCGTTTTCCCATTCCTGTAGCTCTCTGAGCTCTAATGAGGAAAGCTGTGAACCTGAAGGTCCCTATTATTCCCATGAGGAATTCCTCTGTATTAAGCTCTTGAAGGCTTTCTGGTGCTATGCAAAAGCCTCTAAGACCTGGTTGGAAAGGTTGCAGCCCTATAAGGGGAAGCTATGGCTGGGTGGTATCTGTGAACCCCACTGGTGCTTCTTTTCAGTGTTTTGGGGAAATTCAGTCCCTATAACATCCCTGGAGCTCTGCTGGGAAAGGATGTAGACCCTGAACATCCTACTGGGGAAAACTGTTATACTGGAAAGCAATCTTAGTTTTTCTGAGGGAACCAGTGATACTGAGCAAGAGCTGCCAGGCAAAGAGCACTATGGCACAAAGGGGCTCTTGAAAGGAGCACCAGTGCGGAGAAGCAAACCCCAGCTTCCCCCATTTGCTGGATTCCCACCCAGGGCAGTACTGTAAGTCACAGAAACTACTCAGATCTCTGGAAGGTGAGGTGCCTAATCAGGGTGTATTGACTCTCTTCAGGAGTGGATGCAAGCTTTGTGCAAGCCTTAACTGCAAATAAAACTTTGATATCTTGAGTCTTGTGAGCCCGAACGCTTTTAAGGGGATCCAGGGGCTGAGGAAAAGTGCTTAACCCTGATGTTCTCAGGCTATCTAGCTGGAAGTGCTGAGTCCAAGTCAAAGGTTCTTGGTGTCTTGAAGTTACTGCCACATGGATTCCATTATATTCACTTTTCTCTCAATTCCTTAGAAACTCTAACCTTGCCTCTGTAGAGAATTAAGAGAAAGACTATTTGGGAAACTGGATTTGGAGGGCCTGGAACGATCTGAGCTCTTTGGACTCTGAAGACCAGATCCAGAGGGAGATAGTGAAAGAAGAAAACTGAAGCTCTGGCATTTGAGGAACAGCTGCACCATACCAACCAAGTCATTTCTTACAAGGTCTAAAAGGAGTCTTAACACTAGGCATGGGGGCAGGAATGAGGGAATCAAGTTATTCTACTGAATGATTAAGTGAATGGATTCTATCACCACCACCACCACCCGACAGTTCCTTTCTTCCTTTGCTCAGTGAACTCATTCTCCAGACAAGGTTCAATGGAGGAATCCACCCTGCAGCCTACATGGGGCTACTGGATCTGGAACCACTCCCCTCAGACCCTCAGGATACGAAGGATGCACCTGCCAGGCCCACGTACGCAGGGAAAGTGTTTTAATCCCAAGCCAGAACTTCTAGGGTCTGTGTGTCTGCCGTGAGGGGACCTCCGGTAGTCTGTGGGGCTGGTGCTCTGGGGGTCGTGGAAATTCCCTCCAGCATCTATCCAGGAGATACTAGAAAGAAAAATAGACTCAATGACTATTTTGTCTTTGTAGCCTCGCTCCATTGCACACAATCGATGATTAATAAATGCTTATGGGGGCAGCTAGGTGGCACAGCAGATATAGCACCAGCCCTGAAGTCAGGAGGACATCTCAAACTCGACGTGTCCAAAACAGAACTCAGTACCTTCCCCCTCCAAACCTCCCCGCGTCCTACCTTTGGAGGCTGCCACCATTCTTTTAGTCACACAGGTTCCCAAATGAGGTGTCGTCCACAACTCCTCTCTCTCTCTCACCCCACCTCCCATCTAATCAAGCTGCCAAATCCTGCAAATTCTACCTTCCTAGCATTTTCCCTATATATTCCCTTTACAATTTTTTGGTTCTTGCTCTCTCTTGTGGGTGGGTGACCCTCAAAGGCTACATACAATATACATATACATAAAACTTATGTAATACACTCATTTATATATACACAATATCATGTTTATATAACATATAAAACGCTGTGTGTAAAGTCTGGCACACGTTACCAAGACAGAAAGCCTTCTTGTGCAGGCACAGCAATGGACTCTGTGCCTGTCATCTGAGGACTAGCCTAGTTTGAAAAGGTTCATTACAACCCTCTTTGAATGCAGCAATATCCACATTTATTTATTTTGGTCATATCATGCCATGAGGGCCACCTGCTAAGTGTGAAGAGATTGTGCTCCTCATCAGTGCAAAGGCTGATTACTTCTAACAAAAGGCACCGGCATTTTAACAAAATAGAGCTGGAACAAGCTCTATCTATTTGGGTCTCCTTTAGCAAGCTGTTGACTTGTTTTTCATGATTTTCTTGCATCACTCTCCTTTCTCTTCCCGGTTTTTCCTCTACTTCTCTTACTTGCTTCTCAAAATCCCTTTTGAGCTCTTCCAAGGCCTGGGACTGATTCATATTTTTCTTGGAGGCTTTGGATGTAGGAGCTTTGGCTTCGTTCTCTTCTTCTGGATCTATGTTTTGATCGTCTTTGTCACCAAAGTAAGATAATGTAGTCTGACTCTTTTTGCGCTGCTTACTTATGATCCCGGCCAACTACTTGAGTTTTAAACTCTTTGTTAAGGTAAAAGTCTGCTTCCAATGTGAAGAGTGTACTGTCCCAAGCTTCGGGGGTCTGTACAGCTGTTTTCAGAGATACTTCTAGGGACCTGTAAATTTTCAGTTCTTCCCAGATGCTATGATAAAGGGCGAGGTGTTTTCTCTCCACCACCACAACAAGCTTCACCACACCAGCTTTCCTCCTCGTCCCAGGACCACCCCTCAGAACTGTGACCCAGATTCAAGCACTGGTAAAGAAAGAGATTCCTGCCTCAGCCCTGGCAAAGAGATCCTTGCAATCCCCCTCTGATCAGCCACTGGAATCCCCCTAAGTCTGTGGGCCTGAAGCTCAGGAAAAAGCCACAGCCCCGGGCCGCACTCGAGACTTGCGGCTGAGACCTAGCTCCTCTCTCACCGCAGTCACAAACTTTTCCCACTGACCTTCCACGTTGTCTTTGGCGTTCAGGGGTTGAGAAGTCTGGAAACCACCACAGCTGCCTGCAATTCAGTCCTCTGAGGCCTGCTCCAGGGTCACTGCGGCCTCTGCTCCCACGCCGCACTGCACTCCTCTCCCCGCCCGGCGCGATATACCTTTCAGATCAACCATCCAGGCTGTCTTTGGCTGGAAATTTGTTTCACTCTGTCTTTTTGTGGGTTCTGCTGCTTTAGAATTTGCTTAGAGCCACTTTTTTAGGTATTTGGAGGGCTTTGGGAGAGAGCTCAGGACAGTCACTGCTTTCCCTCCGCCATCTTGGCTCCGCCCCCCGAACAAGCTCTATCTAAACACAGTGGAGGCATTCTGACCAGGGCTTGGGACTCAATGAGCACAGGAACACAAGGACAAAGGGAACGTCTAAAAGTGGTCAGTTTGTCCAAGTTACTCCCTCCACAATCCCCTCTCCTGTCCCTCCCACTCTGACCGTGGAAAGTTCACACCCTTTAGTGGAACAGCACTGGGTAAATAAACACTAGAGTATTTAGTACGTGGCCCTGACCAGATGATCTTTACAATGCCTTTGTGTTTGAACAGTCTGAAAGTTAGTCAGCCAGCATTTATTAAGCACTTACAGCCCCTTCTACTACCCTCCAGGCCACATTTGTGGCTCATGGACACTCTGGCTGCTATCTACTCTTCCTCCCCCGAGGCTGTGTTGGTCCGGTCTGCAGGAGGACTCGTCTCCCCTTCCCTTTGGAATCTCCTTTGGGATCTGGCATTTTTTCCCTGCCTCTTCTGCAAGGCACCTGCAGAGGATCAGCCTTCCTCCAGGCTTAGATCTTGCTGATTCCACCCGACAATCACATAGTGCCTCGGTGCACTGAGCTAGGCACCAGGAATCCAAAGACAAGATAAATAGCTCCTGCCTTCGAAGAGCTGAGGGGTTTTTCTTAGTGATGAAGATATTCATTTCCTAAGACTTACCTCTGCCACACTAGGTACCCTCTGACAACCTTTTGCCAAGTTCAGAATGACTTTACCCATGTGTCACTTCTAAAGTCCTTTTGGGGTACAAAACCTGGGTTCTCCGTCATAAGCCTGCATGAGGCAGCAGAAAGGTATATTTCCTAAACTGCAAGTGCCCAGAACTTTGCCCAAGAGCCCCACATCTCTGAAGCAAAGACATACTGTTTTATCAGCCACAAATAGGACCACAGCCAGGGGTCAGCATACCTGAGGCAGCTTCAGAAGCCAGAGGCCACCCCTTCTTTCCTGAGATGCACACAACATCCCATCCAGCTCTTTCCTCAAAGGTCTCCCTTTATAATAAATCTCCCCTCTCCACTGAAAGGCTCATTTAGCCTCAATGCTACCACAGTATATTTTGCAATCTTTGCTTCTCTCTTTAAAGCTTATTTCTCTTTATCTCACATCAGTAACTTTACTTCTTGCTAACCCTTTTCCAAACTGGCTTCTCTTACATCCTCCAGGCCAGCCCACCCCAGGCCCGGATAACCAACAATGAGTCCCTGAAACACTGGCGCCACATTTCCTGCTATGAAAAATCTGGGCAGAGAATGGAACCATAATCCTCACAGCCTTCCCTAAGTGACTAGGGGTGTTATTGGACTTCACACCCTTGTTACTCTAAGCCAACCTTCCAGCTAGGTTAACTCCCCATGGCTCCCAGAGTTCCATACCACAAATATCCCTGCCTGATATGCTAAAAGCAGAGCCTGCTGCCCTAACATCACCCTTCCTCTTGCCCTGGACATCACTGAAAATAGGGAGGTAATTTGCCTTCCTTCAACCTGGGGCTACAATTAGTTTGTGGCAAGAGCCTTCTCAATACTCCATTAAGAATGACCTTGGCCAACGAGTCAAATGTTACATTGAGCACTCCTTGAGCAAAGTAAATTTTACTTTGGTAGTTTAAAAAAAAATATCACAATATTAATAATAGCTGGTTGTAATAAAGGTATAAAAGAGATGTTTATTAGCAGGCAAGGATATTTGTTCTGGAAACTGCTTCATTCCCACAAACAGCAATCCTACCTCCTCTGCCAAAGGTAATCTCATGTCTCTAATCCTCACTGCTCACAAGGCAACTCTCAATGGTGGGAACACCGAAGATGTGGCTTATGGTACAGAGAAAATGTTTCAAAGGACCAGGAAACCTGAGCCTGACAGACCACTGGTTCTACCTTTGAACTGTGGAAAGGGCTCCTCATCGGTCAGTCCTCCAGGGCGAAGTCAAAGGGCTGGAAATGCTTTCGGAACAAGCGAGCGAGAGCTTCCTCCTCTTCTCGGCTACGAGGGCATTGCCTCCAGTCAGACTTGTTGGGAATGTTGAGGATGGCCTCACCTGCCAAAACCTCCCTGAAAAGAACAAGGCATGTCACAGCAACCTCAGCTGAGAGGCCCAGAGGCCATTAGTCCAATTACTCTCCAGTGTAAACTTTGTCCCTCCACCCACACTGGCCTCATGTTTGCCTACATTAGCCATTTCATCAACACAAAGGACTATTTCTAAGGCCCTGGGCTGGGTTCCAAGGAGATGGCAGAGACAAATCAGACCTGCTCCCTAGCCCTGAAAGGGGCTCCTGGTCTGCTATGGGAGATAAGAGATGTATAAAAATGACCACAGCAGAACACAGAATGTGATAAGTGCATTCAAAGTCCTGTGAGGATTCACAGAAGGGAGAAGTCACCTCCTGCTGAGGGGATAGATTTCATGGATAGATAACATTTGGGCTAGGCTGAAGGTGGAAGAAATGATAAGGCTGAATGAATAAGCAGAATGAGGGATGACTGGTTATGAGAGTGGGATGTGATCTGGCAGGAAAAACACAGGACTGAGAGTCCAGAGACCTATGTTCCAGTTCAGGCTCAGCCTGACCTTTTCGGACCTCGCTTCCTTTTTCTGTACAATGCGGGGGTGGGACCAGGTCACCTCTAGGGTCCCTTACAGCTCAAATATTCCACAGCTTTGTTGGTGGCATTGGGAGGGTCAGGCAAATAAAGAGTAAGTTTGGGAGTTTTCCATAGTGATGTTGAGGTAAAGGCAAGAAAACCAGTTGAAAAAAGTCAAGAAGCCAGTTGGAAAACAGGGCCAGTTGAGGCCAGTGGAGCTATCTGGGGAAGATGTCTGCAGAGGATTAAACAGAAGGGAAAAGAATCTAAAAGGATTAGTAGAGGTGAGGGGGGCTGATGCTTTCCTGATCAAACATTCCCTAACTTCTAGCTAGAAACGGCAATTCTCTGATGTTTGGACAGCATTTAAAGAAGCACCATCATCTACAGCCAGGGAAGGTATAACCCATCTTGTCAGGAAGCAGAGAGCAACGAAAAAATACCGAGGTTAAGCTTCTGCAGCCTAGGTGTCTGATGCCCTGCATGAACGAATGGACTAAACAGGGTACTGATCCTGTTAATGAGGGCACACTGTGATCTGATCGCTATTTGCTTTTCATTCACTTCGTGTGTGCCACTGTGTACGGATCACAGCTTTCACTGAAGGGACAGAGCAAAGATCCAGGGCTTGACGGCATTTTCAAGGAGAGTGGGGTTACTAAATGACATTTCATCAAGTGCCCACGATTATACTTCTTCCTTCTTTACCTCTGCCCTTTATCTGAGTCAGAGGCCAAGTTGTGCCATCATCCCCAGGACCACAACCTTAGTTCTCCAGCACCCCCTCTCACCTGCACTGCTCTAACCACCTCCCGACTGGTCTCCAGCTGCCAATCTCTCCTCCACAGACCTGCTGAGACAACCTGCCTCAGGTCCCTAACCCCCAGGCACATCACTGCCTGCTCGAGGATCTCTCCTGCCTCTCAGGAGAAAATACAAACTCCTCTGACTTTTAAACAAAGTCCGTCACAATCTGACTCCGACCATCTCTCCAGCACACATGTCCCCTTCCCCCATGCACTTGATGTTCCAGCTCAAGTGGCCACCCTGCGGTTCCCCGTACATGACGTCCAACTGTGACTTTAGAGACACAAGCTGTCTCTCATGCCTGAAATGCTCTCTCTTTATCTCTGCCTTTGGGAATCCCTAAATCCTCTAAGGCAAGGACAGAATGGCAAGCATAAAGTCAAAAAGACCTGAGTTCAAATCCAGCCTCAGACAGTTACTAGCTGTGTGACTCCAGGCAAGTTAACTTCACCTCTGTCTCAGTTTCCTTACTTGTAAAATGGGGACAATAACAGTACCTACCTCCCAAGGTTGTTGTGAGATCAATGAGATAATCTTAGCACAGCCCCCTGGTATGCAGCAGTTACATAATAAATACTTATTCCTTTCTCTTCCCCCTTTTCTAATAAGAAAACATCTTTTGTGTTCATTCTCTTTTCTTCCTTGGGCATTAACTTACCTGTTTATGTGCTGTGTCCCCAGCCAAACGTAAGGGACTATTGTTCACCTTGCCTCTGTATCTCAGAGGCTTAGCACAGGGCCTTACTCTTAATAAATGCTTAAGGAATGGAAGTTAATGATTACTCTCCTTTGATGTCTGTAGGCCAGTATCATCATCAGCATCATCGTCATCATCACCACTAACATTTACATACCGGTGCTTCAAAGGTTCTGCAAAGTGGCTCACAGACTACATTAACTCATTTGACCCTCACAACCACACACATTTCCTCCATTTTACAGATGAGTAAACTGAGGACAAGACATCTTTCTGACTCCAGGTCCTGTTCTCAACGCACTAGCCCACGCTGCCCATCTTCTAGCAGAAATGTTCAAACCTACAGTCTCTCCTTTCTCTGAACACTTATTATACTCATTGCCTCTACTGCACAATTTAGCATATTAGATAGGAGGACAAGTTATTTACTGATTTACGGTTATAAAGTATGCTATATAGTTATTTCATTTTGTACAGAGAAAGCCCAAAAGTACCAATAGAGGGCATAAATTCCTCCTCGTCTCTCTCCAAACAATCTTTCCACACATTCGCTCCTTATCATTGGATACAGGCTGGTCTGAACAGTGGTATTCTAGCTCTAACCTCTGTCAGCTAGGATGTCCCTTAGCCACCTTAAACTCAACATGCCCCAAACATTCATTCTCTTTCCCTCCAGACTTCCTTACTGGGGTCAAGGGCACTCCCATCCTCTCTGACATCAAGACCTACAACTTCCATGTCATCCTCAACTCCTTCCTCTCTCCTGAGCTGCTGCCAAATCTTGTCATTTCTTCTTTCAAAAAAGCTCTCCTATATGTCTCCTCTTCTCCACTCCTATGGCCATAGCCTCAGATTAGACCCTCGTTACCAGTTTTAAAAATTCAGTTGTATTTCATTTTCAGTTCCAGATCCTCTCCTCCAGTCACCCTTGTTCCCTCATTTTCTCTCACCTGGACTACTGCAATAACCTCTCTAATAGTCTCCCCTACCATAAGTCTCTCCCTGCCCAAACCCATTCTCCACTTGGTTGCCTGGCTGATATTTCTTATGATCTTATCACAGCCCCCTTCTGATGTGGATTACAGCTACTGGCTTACACATGGTCTCTCCTACTGAAATGGAAACTACCTGAAGAAGGGGATTCTGCCCTGCCCATTTCTGTATTCCTGCAGTGAGTACCTAACACATAAATGTGCCCAATGAAGTGATAGTGAATAAATGAAAATAAGAAATGAAATAAATGAAAATAAAACAAACCTTCCAAAATGCAAAGGAAAACTCTTCTTAATTCTGTGGAAAAGCTTCTCTCCTGTGTCCAACTCCACATAAAAATATGGTGCTCCCGGCTGTGCAATCTGTGACAAAGAGAGTTCTTGAAGTAAGTGCAACAAGTGCAGAGACAAACCTTCCCAGAGCTCTTGGAAGCTGAGTTCTGCTATTCAACAAGGACAATTATTCCCCTGGTTATTGCAAAGCATCCCTGTAAGGCTGGGGACAGAGCTGGGGTCCCCACTTGTCACACGCTCCCTCACAGAGTCCAGCTCCAGCGTGAGGACTAGGCCTTTGCTCTAAACTCATCTCTCACAACAGCCCCAATCTTCCTCCAGAAATACAGGCCTGCACTAGCCATCTGCCTGTTGAACACATCTATATAGATGTACGAGTGTCATTGGTCAGACAACCGAAAAGCATTTGTTAAGCACTTACTACATGCTAAGCACTAGGGATACAAAAAAAGGGGGAATAAACAGTCCCCACTCCCAGGGAGCTTGCAGTCTAGTAAGGGAGAAGACAAGCCGCCAGGTGCAGCCAAACAAGATACAGACAGGACCGATTCGGGGCAATCTCAGAGGGAAGGCACTAAGATGAAGGAGAAGGAGCATCCAAGGTGCAGGGGACTGCTGGAGAAGACGCTCAGAGTGGGGGGATGGAGTCTTGTGTAGGGCACGGCTAGGAGGCCAGCGTCACCGCTGCTGCCGTTCGTCCTTCAGTTGCGTCTGACTCCCCGTGACCCCACTTGGGGTTTTCTTGGCAAAGATACTGCAGCAGTTTGCCATCTCCTTCTCCAGCTCATTTTATAGATGAGGAAACTGAGGCAAACAGGATGAAATGACTTGTCCAGGGTCACACAGCTAGTGAGTGTCTGAGGCCAATCTGAACTCAGAAAGATGAGTCTTCCTGACTCCAGCCTGGTGCTCCGTGCACTATAGCGCTCCCAGCTGCTGTTACCAGTCACTAGACAGAGGACTATGTGGGAGGGTCTGGTATAAGGAGTAAGAGGACTGCAAAGGTAGGTGGGGCCAGATGATAAAGGGCTTTAAGAGTCAAACAGAACATTTCATATATCATCTTGGAAATAATATTTAGCCACTGGAGCTTACTGAATGGGGGCAGGTGGGTGGGTGATATAGTCAGACATCCTTTTTTGGAAGATCAATTTGACAGCTGAATATCACTTAAAAATCTAAATTAATTGGCCAGTTCCTTGTTTATGCATATCAGCCTCTTCAGACAATTCTCCTGTCTCCTTCTTGTGTTAGGACCTCGGGCACTTCTTGTGTGTAGCCTAAACTTTGGGTGTGTAAGAGGAATCTGGTGAGAGAAGACTGGGGCAGTGAAGCGGAACCAGACTGTAAGCCTTAAATGCTGGGCTTGGGTTCCAACTTGATTAAGCATCAGGACCACAGGAGGGTTGACCAGCAGAGCCCTGCTTCGGTGACACGGACCCGGCATCTATGTGAAGGACAGATCGGTGGGGAGTGAGGATGGAGATGGAGGCTAGCTAGTTAGGGAGATACTGCAATGGTCCAGGCAAAAAGAGAGAGGGAAAGGACTGGACTAGGGGATGCAGAAGGGACGGATACAACAACAGATACCGTGAAAATGGAACAGACAGGATGCAACTAATTGGATGCAGAGCCGTGAAAGAGGGAAAGTTCAAAGGTGATAGATACAAAGGCTGCAAACCTCATCTGCAGTAAGAAGGTGATATTTTAAAAAGAAATGGACAGAAGGGTAAGCCACAGAGGATGAATATAAAACCTAGTCCTATAAAAATAGTGTCAACAGTGGTAAAGCTGAGGCTGCTTAGGGAAATGAAGAACAAAAGGGTTTTTTTTTAAAGCCACATTGAGAAAAAGGAAGAGCATCACGGCAGGGACAGGATTACTGCTTACAGTGACCAGGACACAATAACTGACAACAGAGAGAAGGCAGAGAAGCTAACCTCTTATTTTCATTCTCTCTAGACACAGAATGATCTTTGCATTAGAAATGCCAGGACAAAAATGGCCAATAGGGAGTTGACAGATAAGGTACGAGAAAATACTCTTATTTATTTATTTATTTTTTGGTGAGGCAATCGGGGTTAAGTGACTTGCCTAGGGTCACACAGCTAGTTAAGTATCATGTGTCTGAGGCCACATTTGAACTCAGGTCCTTCTGACTCCAAGGCTCTATCCACTGTGTCACCTAGCCACTCCACTAGAAAATACTCCTAATGAATTCACATCACCTGGACCAGATGAACCATATCCTTGGGTATTAAATGAATGAGCATATGTGACTGGTGAGGTATCACCAATATTTGAATGATGATGGAAAATGGGAGAGGAACCACAGACCTGGAGAAGGGCATAATGTAGTCCCAATTTTCAAAAAAGTGAACAGAACCAAGCCTGCAAATTCTATATTAGTATGACTTTGATCCCTTGAAAAATTCTAGAATGGATCATTAAAAAGATGGTTGATTAACATCTTGAAAAAGATGCTATTACAAAGAGCCAGCATGTCTTTTATCAAGGATAGGTTATGCCAGACAACCTTTATTTCCTTTTCTGACAGGGTTACGAAACTAGCATATCTGGGGAATGCTGTATATAGTTTTCCTAGATTTTAGCAAAACATTTAAGAAAATATCTCATGCTTTTCTTGTGGAAAAGACAAAGAGACGCAGACTAGATGACAGCACAATTAGATGAATTTAGAATTGGATGAACTGCCAGATTCAGAAAAGAGTTATTAATGGTTTAGATGTCTACTTAGCACCTGGGCCTAGTAAAGCGTCCCAGGAATCAATCTATGCTCACCCTATAAGGTTTCACATTTTTATCAATTACTTGGATAAAGGCTAAGATGGCATTTTTATTAACTTTGTGGATGACACAGAGCTGGGGAGGTATAGCTAACATATCAGATGACACAATCAGGGTACAAAAAGATATTAAAAGGCCAGAGTACTAGACTGAACCTGAGAAACATAAGTGTAAAGTCTGACACTTGGATTCAAAAAACTAATTTCACAAATACATGATGAAACAGTCACAAGTAGACTGAGGTCCATCTGAAAAAAATCTAGTGGTTCTAGTGTAACATATTAAGAAAGGATGCTACTTAGCTCAGAGAAGAAAAGATTTGGGAGCATGTGAGGGATTAGAACAAGACATCTGCCATGTGGCAGGAGGATATTTGCTCTGTTTGGTCCCACAGGGCAGAAGCAGGAGCAATGGGTGAAAATCCTCAGAGTTAACTTGAGGTTTGACATCAGAAAACACTTTCTAACACTGAAGGCTGTTCACAAGTGGGATGGGTTGCCTTGGGAAAAGGTGAACTTCCATTCCTTGGAGGCTATAAGATCACTTGCTGGGTACATTCTAATAAAGATTCCTTTGGGCCATGGTTTGGCCTTGATGCCCCTGTGGTCCCTTCTAACTTCTGAAATTCTGTGACACATTCATTCTACTTCCACCACTCCCTGAATAGATTCTGTGTTTTTCTGCCCCTGTATTCATGCTGTCTCCTATGCCTGGAATGCCCTCTTTGCTATCTCTGCTACTAACACTCCAGGCCACCTTTCAAAGCCAGATCAAAGCCAGCCTCCACGAAGACCTTCTTGTCTCCCCCAAAACAGAAGTGATGCCTCCTTCTTCTGCACGGTGTACTTCTCATGCACCTCCAGCTCCTTTGTATTAGAGCTATCTGTGTATATGCCATCTCTAAGGAGGTGTCAGTATGTGGTGTAAAGGGCTGGATTTGGACTCTGAGGTCTTGGTGTGCATCTTGCCTGTGCTTCTTGCTATCTGCGTGACTTTGGGCAAGTCACTAAGCCTCTCTGGGCCTCAGCTTCTTCATCTGCAAAAAGAGGGTTGCACCACATGATTGCTGAGATCCCTTCCAGTTTTAAATTTATAATCCTATGCAATAATATTAGGTAGTAATTTCCTTGAGGGAAGGAATGAGGACTAATTTTTGTATTCCCTGACTCAGTGCCTTGCTCAAAAACAGGTTCTCAGTAAGAGTCTGTGAATATGAAGGGAATGTAGCTTACAAGCTTTCTCACACACAGACCTTCCTCTCCATTCCCACTGATGCTGCTTCTGTTCAGGCCCCACCTGGACCAGCATCACGTTCTCTAACTGGTCTTCCAGCCAGCCCTCTCTCCTACACACCACCACCAGACTGATCTTCCTCACAGCACGGTTCATCAACAAGCTAAGCTGGCTCAGTTACCCAAGTTGTGAGTTGCCATTTGATGACTTCTCACCTTCCTACTTGGCTCACACTGGTCCCCTGACACAATCTTAGCCATTCTTCTCCACCCTCAGCTCAAGCGCCACCTCCTCAAAGTCTTTCTGACTATTCCAGTTCATACTGATCTCATCTTTTCTGAAGACTTCCCATAATACTTTTATTGGCTGTATTATTCTATATTTAGCAGTTAGCACCTATCATTTTATGACTACTGTTACTTCACAACTGTTGACTTTTTATACATGTGATCATGTCCCCCAAGACACTGTGAACTCCACGAGGGCAGACTGTTTGTTTTTCTCATGTTATTCCCCTGCTCAGGAGCTTTCAATGAGTCCCCAGTACATACAGGATAAAGTCCAAACTCCACACAAACTGTCTCCTGTCTTTTTAAGCATATCTACTATCCTCAGCTACAGTGAGATTCCTAACTATCCCACAAACACGCCTTATGAAACTGTTCTTCTAAAGGATCCAACAAATATACCATGAGTATCTAAACTTCCACAACTCTGCTTCTACCTTGCCCTGTGCTGGAGGGTCCTCCCCACTCCTTATCTGAACCCTACTCATCTATCAAGGCCGTTTCTAGGAAGGGCATCATACCCCACCTCTAGGAGGCCTTCTCCGACCTCCAGCGCACTTTTCTCCTTTGGCTCTTATCCTACATGGTTTAGTATTGTGAACTTTGTTCTTTATGTCCTCAGAGTGCCTGGGACATTACCCTGTGTGTAGTGAGCCTTGACATATTTTTCTTGACTACTGGCTTCTCTGCTGTCTTCCCTATCTATCCCACAACCACCACTCCAAGGCAAAGTTGAGACAATGACAAAAGGAAATCAACAATCACCAGACACCCAGCTGGGAGACACTGTGTTGCTGCCCCATCTAAGCACTCCCAGGTCGCAGCCACATCCTGAGCCTGGTACAATCAGTGTCCCCTCTTCACTACACTAGGATCACTTCTTAGAGTACTATCAGACCTGCTTGCGTGCTCTTCCTGCTTCTCAAAGAATATTCAGAGTAAAAGGGTGCCTATGCACAGGGTAACCCCCAGCCACATAAAAGGAGAGGGGCCTAAGGCCTCACCTGTTGGATATCTGAGTGTTCTGGGATTTCTAGCAGCTCCATCTGCTGCTCCTGGGCCTGGATGATGAAGGCCTCCTTGATGTCATCAGTGGTGCAGCAGCTGAGGGGTACAGGAACAACCTGGGTGGGGAGAGCAGATGCCACTGGCTTTGGCCCCAGAAAGGAGGCCAGTGACTAACACATCACAGGGGTGAAGAAACACCCCTCAGTATAGCTTCTCCTCATCCCAGAGAGTGCATACTCCATTGACTCTCTGTTAAGACTTAAACTCATGAGATAAAGCACTGCATGTGGGAGCTAAAGTAATCTCTAAAGTGGGGAGAGGCTCAGATGCGGCCTGACCATCCCCAAGACTGCTTGCTCCTGTGTAATCTATGTGGCAGAGTCAGGCCTATTTGATACTTAACAAACTGGCCAGAAGGAAAACTACCACAGGGCACGAAGTGTCTTATTTCCCTGAGCAGACTGCGACAAGGGCAGAGTCCATGCCTTTATCCTGTATCCCCCTCAACACCTTGCCTTATTCAGTGCCAGTTGCTCAGTATTATCTTGGTTAGGTCCACAGCTCCTCAACAAGCTGAGCTGGCTTAGTTCCTCAAGTCGTGAGTTCCCATTTGATGACTTCTCACCTTCCCACTTGGCTTACACTGGTCCCCACATCAATCACTGCTCTCCCCATGTCCCATCTTAACAATTCTTCTCCACGCTCAGTTCAAGCTCCACCTCCTTCTCAAAGTCTCTCTGACTATTCCAGATACCATCTTTTTCTGAAGTGTTCCCATAATACTTTTATCGGCTGTATTATTCTATATTTAGCATTTAACACACACCGTTTTATGACACTTATCCTACTGTTACTTCATGACTGTTGACTTTTTAATACATGTGATCCTCATGTCCCCCAAAGAGTGTCAGTTCAAGAGGGCAGACCGTCTCTTTTCTTTCTCCACTAAAGCACCGGGGGTATCTCTGGAAAATCACAGACCCAACAGAATGCTGCCAAGAGAGCAGAAGCCCAGGATGCACTGGCTATGTCCGACAGGGCGGCCACCCCAGGGCTAAATGAACACACATACGAATCTGGGTCCCTCCAGGGATATCTGGGGTTCCCTTTAAGTTCTTGGACCATACTTCCCCACCTGCAGCTGGAGGTGATGACTCCTATAATTCCTCTCAAACAGAACGCATCGCTTCCCTTTGCTCTTAAAGAGCTGTCTCACTGCACACTTGTACTTTTCCACTTCTTCCACCACCTCTCTTGAAAGATCGACCACTGACTGGTAGTGCCCGATGGGCAAGATCAGAACATGATCATCACATAATCCACCTTTCGCCAGGGCAAGGTAGCACTGGAAAGGAAGGACAAAAGCAGAAGAGTTAGGATGTCAATTCTGTCCCAGGAATCCTTGCTCTTCTACAGAAGCCATTAAAGAGACTAGTTGGAAGGACCATCACTAAGGAAACAAGCAGGCCAGTCATCTCTCTGAGATTCCTCAATAAGAGCTCATGAGAATTTAAAATTCTGATTGTGGGTGTCTGTTCTGGATCATAAATCATAGCCACTCCTTGGGTAAATGAACTGCTGAAAAAAGTGAAGAGAAGTTTGGCAGAAATTAGGGTTAGATTAAGACCTTGCACAATATACCTTAACAAACTCAAAATGGATGTGGGCTGTGAATATAATAGAAATAGTGAGCATTTATATGTTTTAAGATTTGCCAAGTGCTTTGCATATGTTCTATTATTTGGTCAAAATGACTATACAGGGTCATATCATAAAATGATTAGAAGAGACTATCTATGATGGGATAGAAATAACAGAAACAAAGAAGGTCATAAAAGATAGACAAGTTTGACCGTGTAAAACAGAAAAGAACATTGTGATATATAACTCTATAAAACTCTACAGTGTCTGTAAAAGGCTGAAGGGAGAAGGAACTCACATGTGTGCCAATGCTGACCACCAAATGCTTTTCTACTTCAGGACTGGCAAGACAGAACCAGCAGGGTCCCAGGGGCTGAGCTTCATGCAGGGGAAAAAAAAAAAAACCAAAACACAAAAAACTGTTATGATGGTTCAAACACTAGAGTAACTCATTATCCTGTAGAGGTCATTCCAGTTTGATATCAGGTTACCCCACAGTGCGGGTATCACTTTCATTCCACTGTGGCCTCCAAGAGGCATGCAGCCCAGGCCTTTATTTTCCAAAGGCTTTGTTGCCAGAGTAGGCTGGTATTCAAAGAGAAGGCAATACTTTCACTGCCTGCTTCAGTTTCCTTATATCTAAATGTAAAACAAAGGGGCTGGACCAGAAGAACTGGAAGATCCCTCCCACCTTTGGTTATGATTTCCCCTTTCCATCTTCATATAACTCTGTTGTGTAACAATGATTCTCTTATGTATCACAACTATGAGCTGCTGTCTTATTACTACCCAGTCATATGATACTTACGTGGTTTCCGAGGCTGCTTGGGGGAAACACCCTTGCTGTCTCCCCCAGTGGACTGACGTTTCTTTCCCTGCTTTTTGCTTAAATCAAAGAAAAACTGACAAGCTGGTTCTTCCTGTGAAAGCCAAAAAACATGCAAACAGACATTACTCAGTAGAGCTCTAGAACTAAAGTTGGCCCTGACATTTATAAAGATATTGCAGCCTTCCTTCTCTTTTCTCCCGCCCACTCTGCTTATTCTAGCAACAACAGCCGTTTGCCCTTCCATGCTCCTCCTATTCACACCTTTCCAGACTCCTGCAACCTCAGCCCTCTGGCCACAAACAGCTACCAATTCAACTCCTCTACCCCACTTTGGTGACTTTGTCACATGCTTCCACATGCCTGAAATCCCCCTTTACCACTCCACTCCCTAAATCTCTACCTACTGAAACCCTACCTGAAATCTGCCGTTCTCTCTTCCTTCAGCCCTGTCTCAAATAGTGAGGTGGTCCATGTTTTTGCTAAGCCAAGCCTATCTACATGCACAAGTGATCCTGTTCTACCCCCTCTTCTCCAGAAGATCACCTACTCTATCATCCCATTCTATCACGTCTCTTCAATCTCTCCCTGTCTGTTTCCTTATTGTTTACAAACATTTCCATTTCTCCCCCATCCTCAAAAAATCCTTCACTTGATACCCACTAGCTTTCGTCCCATTATCTCTCCTTCCTTTTGTGGTTCCTTGGGAAGACTATCTATAATCAAGGCATCTACTTCCTTTCCTCTCCCTCTCTTTTTTTAAATCTCTACAGCCTGGTTCAGACCTCATAATTCAACTGAAATAGCTGTCTCCAAAGTTATTAATAATTTCTTAATTGCCAAATCTAATGTCCTTTTTTCAATCCTCATTTTTCTAGACTTCTCTGCAACCTAATCACTTTCCTGCTCAGTAACCTCCTGTGCTCACTATCACCTCTAAGACTAAATAACTTGTTTGGCATCCAAAGTGCTTCAAAATCTGGTTCTCTCCTCCCTTTCTAGTCTTCTTGCAACTTACTTTCCTCAGCCTCCACGACACTGTTCTACCACAAACTTCTAGATCCAGTGATCCTGGGTTTTCCTTGTACAAGACAACCCCATCTCCTGACTGCATTTTCATTCACTGTCCCCCATGCTTGGAGTGCTCTTCCTTCTCACCTCCAACTCTTGGCCTCTTTCAAGCTCCAGCTAAAATTCCCACTTTTCTACAAAAAGTCTTTCCCAATTCCCTATAATGTGAGTGCCTTCCTCCCAGAAAGTATCTCCAATCTGTCTTGTCTACATCTTGTTTGCATGTTGTCTCTCCTATTAGACTATGAGCTCCCTGCAAGCAGGCACTGTCTTCTGTCCAGCACTAAGCACAGTGCCTATACAGAGTAGGTGCTTAATAGGTGCTTCTTGACTACTCAACCTCCACAGCCTAATTCAGATGACATGAAACATTCCCTGATCCTCCTCTCTAGTCCCAAACATGAAAGTCCCATCTCTCCCATGAATTCTTCTCTCAAGTGTTGAAACATCTCGAGACAGCTGTTATAGTCTAAGTTCCCTAAAGGTAAGGACAACATCTTATTCATGTTTCTATTTCTTTCACAACCAAAGAGTTGAATGTCTCCACGAACATAAATAACAGGATTTGGCTCAGGGAAAGCTAGAGATAGACTCAGTATTGGGCTGGATAATTCCACACATCTCAGCACTAAATCACAATTAAGCTGAATATGAACTTGGTTTGAATTACCCCAACTATTGGGACTTAGTGATCAAAAACGTTCCTGGAAAGTGAGATCTGGATTACACAGATTTTGTCCGCATCTGGCCTTGCCCTGACCTCTCAGCCCGATGTCTCTACTAGAAAGCAAGTACCCGTGGGAGCCTGTTCTCCCCTCCTGAGAATATCACCCCAAGGAGAATACCTGTGGAGCCAGGCCCTGTTTGTCTGACAATGCTTCCTTCCCAGATTTTCTGTAGGGGTTTTCAGTGACATCTGGCGGCTGCTTCACAAGCTCTGCCATATCCATCAGATTAAGTGGGAGGATACTGAATGCATAGAGGTACTTTGGAAAAAACAATAACAAAATAGCTTCAAAGAACTTAATATTTATCCTAATCTAACACACTAATTTCTTTATGAAGACTGTCATGAGAAAGCATAGTATTAATTTTTAAAATAAAAACAGCCAAGTACAACAAATCATCAAAGCTAAACATTGCAAACATGTTATTTATGAAAGGAGGAAAAAAGAAAGGTGGAAGATACCCGACTCAGAATGTTACCCCTGGATTGTTACATTTTACATTTTTTGCCACTGTTTTTGTTTCTTCTTTCTTTTTCCTAAAATGCTGACTAACCTGCCTGTCATTAACTCTGCAAAACTTCACCAAAATATGAGGAAATATAGTTGTCCTTCAAGATTTGCAAAGTGCTTCACATACATTATCTTGTTTGATCATGTGGTGGGAGTTGGATGGAAGCTGGGTGACATTTCAGTAAAGTTAGATTGTTTCTACTAATTTTCCTATAGAACTTTCAGTCTCAGTTCCAAATATAAAAAAAAAAACCCTGCACATAGTCTATAGGGATTAAATATGACTTTTTAAATATTAATTTTAGTAGAAAACAAATTTTCCCTTAAGTCTATGATTTTTAGAAGGTTACATTCTGAAGCATGGCATTACTACTTTAAGAGATCCGTCATTTACCCCTTCGACTAATATACGTTACAACCTCTTTACCCCTTAGATGCTGTGGTTAAAAATTCAACATCTGGTGGTCAATCTTTGGGGGGGAATCTATTATTGCTAATAACATACAAGCAGGCCATTCCTTGGCCTGGAATGCACTTCCTCCTCAAACCTGCCTTGGAGGCAGGCTCTCTACATTCCTTTAGGGCTCAGCTCCAGTACTATCTCCTACCTGAGGACTGTCTGGATCCTCCCAACCACTAGTGCTCCCCCAACCCTTGAAATCACTTACTTGCTATGTCTTGTATTTACTCACATGTGCACACTCTGTTTTGCCCAAGAGAACAGGAGAAAGTTCCGTGGGGATAGGCATTGTCTCATTTCTGTTTCTATATCCCTAGTATCTGGGACCTAATAGGTACTTAATAAATGTTTGTCAATTGATTGACTTTCCCAGTGTGAAAAACAGCCACTGATTGACACTGGAAAAACAAAAGGAAGAACCCATACTGCTCAGATGAAGACGTGTAGTTGGAAAGGGAGACTATGGTGTTAGTTGGCCCCTACACATAACTTGGATAGGCATTGCAGAAGAACAATGAACTGGGCCCAGAACTGAAGAGGAGAGATTGGGTCAGACCACATTTGAGAATATGCAGGGTCTTTAATGATCCTAAGTTGTTCCCAAAATGATTCCAAATGGCTACAAATGCCCATCTTTTTTTTTTAACCTATTCATTTTTAAAGAAATAGTTTATATAGTATTAGAATTGTTATTCCCCACCTCCAACCTTTTTTCCAATTACACGTAAAGACAGTTTTCAACATTCACTTTTATAAGATTTTGAGATCCAAATTTTTTTCTCCCTTCCTTCCTCTTCTCCTCCTTCCCCAAGACAGCAAGGAATCTGACATAGGCTATAGATATATGATCATATTAAACATATTTGCACATTAGTCATGTTATGAAAGAAGAATCAGAACAAAAGGGTAAAACCATGAGAAAGAAAAAGAGAAAAAATGGTATGCTTCGATCTGTATTCAGACTCCATAGTTCTTTCTCTGGATGTGAATAGCATTTTCCATCATGAGTCTTTTGGAATTGTTTTAGATCATTGTATTGCTGAGAAGAACTATGTTTAAAAAGCCCATCTTTTTAACACCAACATTTTTCTAGTCTGCAAGGTTGTAAATCATGAAATATCATCTTTTCAGCAGAATCAAAATCATGGATGATCCAAAGAACAATGGAAAGACATATGAGTATGAAAAGCTGGCCACTCAGGAGAACATTGCACACAGAAACAACAACACTGTGTGATAATCAACTTATGATGGACTGAGTTCTTCTCAGCAATACCATGATGCAATTCCAAAAGACTCATGATGGAAAATGCTATCCACATCCTGAGAAAGAACTATGGCATCTGAATGCAGATCAAAGCATACTATTTTCTCTCTCTCTTTTCCTTTCTTGTGTTTTTTCCCTTTTGTTCTGATTCTTCTTTCACATTATGACTAATGTGCAAATATGTTTAAAATGACTGTACACGTATAGCCTATATCAGATTGCACGCTATCTTGGGGAGGGAGGGAGAAAAAAATTTGGAACTCAAAATCTTATAAAAGTGAATGTTGAAAACCACCTTTACGTGTAATTTGAAAAAAACAGAATACTATTAGGTGGAAAAAAATAAAGATAAAAAGAAGATAAAAAAAAGAGCATCAACGAAATAATTAAAGACACCAAAGAAGAGTTCTAGGACAAGAAGCTGGTCTTTTCAGAAAGATTTATAAAATGGGTGCCTTTGCTTCATTTGGCCACTTCTCCCCAAATCTTCTCCCCCACTATTTTTTTCTTCCTATGTGTATGCATTAATTAGATACAGAATCTCAAACCAGAGACGCTATGTCTAATGCATACAAAAGATGACACCAGCAGTAATGACAGTCTAACAAATGAGTTTGGGAAGCAAAGCTGGGCCCTCTGAAGGGCAAAGTACTTTTGGCTTTTACATTCCTATTTTTCACTCCAGGCAATTAGTCAGGACTCACTGAGGCTTTTGGGAACCTTGCTGACCAAGACAATGCTACTGGTGAGAAGAGACGATCAACTCATAGCACTTCTCCAAGGACGGCATCTGGATGCTGCTGTCGTGCACGTGGCGTCTGTCTGGAGGATAACCTACTGGGCACAACACCAGTGATTCCATATTTACCTTCCTCTTCTCTGGGTTTCCAACATTTGCCAGAGCTATGAATCGGGTAACGTGCTGAGCAGTTTCCTGGAGGACTGTGTGGTTTCTATAACATATATGAAAGAAAAGAAAATACAAACAACTTTTATATTCCACTTATCAGTATTTTGTAAATGGTTTCTATCAGTGAGAGTTCTCTTTTCCTCTTATGGCATAGGGGCCTCAGATATGACTTCTTTAAAGGGAAACAAATAATAAGAGCTAATATTTACATAATGCTTTCAAAGTTTACAAAGTTCTTAACATAGATTCACCTGCAAGACAGGTGCTTTTATTATCCCCATTTTACATATGAGATTAAGTGATTTGCCCAGGCTAGTACATGTTGAGGCAGGATTTGAAACTAGGATGTACTGACTACAAGTCCTGGACTCTCTTCACTATGGTACCTAGCTGCTACTATCATTATTCTTGCTATTAAAATTGCATCGCCCACAGGACATGAAAGCAGGACCTCCTTCTAAAGACATGACATGAAATCCTTTATTACTTCCAATGTGCCCCAAGACAATATGGAAGCGGCTCCTGCTGCCATACAGCCCAACTCCACACGCTATCTTTCCTCAAAATATCCCCAGTGTGTTCTACTAATACATGATCTGACCATGCTCTGGCTGTGAGCTGATATATAAGATTAGTTTGGAATAACTGCCATTCTCCCAAAAAGCCCTCTTTTTCAAATCCTTCCCTAAAATCTTCGGGTTTCAGACCTTCTCTAAGGTTTCTTTCCAAACCAAGAATTGGCTGATTCTGGCCTTTCACCTGTTTTTGTACAACAGAGAGCTAAGAGGAATGATTTTCACATTTTAAAACACAATAAAACCTTATTTTAAAATGTGAAAATCATTCTTAACTTCTGGGCTCTACAAAAACAGGCAGAGCAGTTTGCTGATCCCTGTTCTTCCCTATTTCTAGGGAAGTCAGGAGACCCAAAGGCACTTTCAGCCGAACTTGGGCTCTTTCTTCCCTGGGGTGCAGTAGTCAGGAGGCTCAGTTGCCAGCAGAAGAACTGACTCCTCTCTCTTCAATTCACTGCCTGTTTCTGATCTTACTTTCTAGTATAACCTTTTCCTCCCCACAGATAATGCCTATGCTTGGATAAAGATGGAAAAGCAATTTTCTTGAAAGGAGGAAGCATCTGAAAAAGGGCAATTTTAGTGTGGGACAAAGGAAAGTTGGAAACAATTCAGCCAATTCTTACTTCTCTGCTAATGGACCATAGCTCTGATGTTCTATGAGGGGGAAGCAATTCCAAGTTAGAGCAAATCTTACATTGGGCTAAAAGATTTATATCCATTGGACATGGAAGAGGGAAGCAGGGAACAGATTATCTAACCAGGCAGTCTCCTAGTGATCCTGAAACAAGTTTTCACAATGTAACTTTATTATCTGAAAATACATGTATATTGAACAAAATTCAAAGTCAAGTAAAATGCAGATTATCCAAACCAGCTTCTTTATTAGTTATACATGAATACTTCACAAAGAAGGTATTGGTACTGTCCTTCCCCAGTTGTCTTCCATACTGAAATCCTCAGATATGCTTCTGAAGCAACCACTAATGATGAGAATTTCCATGTCTATATAAAAGGGCCACAGCCTGAATTCCCAGGAAATTTTTGGAAAACTTTGTCTTAAGAGTAAGTAAATGTAGTTATAAATATTATAAAAGTTATAAAAGCTGTAACTGTTTATGGTTTTGCTCCAAACTCTAGAGCAGGAGTTCTTACCTGGAGCCCACAAATCACCAAGAGCTCTTGGGATAAATTCCAGGTAGGGTCCATGAACATGGATGGGAAAGAAATTACATCTCTATTTTCACTCAGCTCTAAATCAAAGTTAGCTTTTCCTTCAATTAAGGAGGTAACATTATCCTAAGAAGGGTCTATAGGCTTTACCTAACTGCCAAAGGGGCCTACAACATACAAAAAAATCAGAAATCTCTGCTGTAGAAGCTTAATCCCTTAGGCAGAAACTATGAAATTATATACCCTGAGTAGAACACTGCATATATTGTCAGACTCAGTTGATGTGCTGTTTAATTTTATGGTTGAACTACTTTCTCCCTTCCCACATTTAATAAAATTCTTTGTTACAACGGATGGTTCACTGGGCAGGGGAAGAGGGTAAGGTATATTGAGAAATGAAGGTGATGTAAAAACAAAACATACTAATTTTTTAAAAAGAAAAAAGATACCCACCGATAAGGAAGCCTTTCATAATAAGTCTTTTCCAAGGCAGCAAAGTGATACCTGGGTTTCAAGTCCATGGCAAGATGGGAGATCAAAGAAGAGCCTTTTTTCTTGGTATCCACATCTCCCTGTAAAAGAAAAATAGTGTCCTTTATGACTGACCTTAATGATCAGGCATGTAGGTATGATACAAGCATATTGTGTTAAGTGTCTGTACAGTAACCATACAAGTTTGAATAACAAAAGAACTAGGTCATATGTGGATCAAAATCAGGAGTTGAAGGTGGCCCCCTCTCAACCTTTGCACACAAAATAGATCATTAGAAGCAAAGCTTGAAAGTAAATTAGTTACTGCTAATTAATTTGGCATGCAAGCATAATTTTCTTTGTAGAAGGCCAAGCACAGATCTCATTACAAGGGTGACATTAGGAGATGATTTGGTCAATGCAAAGTCAAGTCAAATTCTCTGGTGCCAGATGTTTTTGGAATAGTTTGTGTGAAATATTCACAGAAGAATTCACAAGCCTGGAAAGTAGGGGAGAAAAAAAAACAGCACTGAATTGGTGGACGTGATGGGGTGGCGGGTTTAGGGGTGAGACAGGGGTGGAGAGGTCTAAAGACCTTAGTTCAAGTCTATGATGTGCCACTTGGTGGACTTGGAGAAAGCATTTAACCCCTTCGTGTCAGTTTTCTTCTCTTTAAGATGTGGGTGAATACTTTTAGATCAAGTGATATAATGTGGAAATGCTTTAAAATCAATTAAGTGCTATATAAATCGAACATGGTAGTATGTGTGGACCTCAAAGGTCAGAATGTCCCTTAAATAACCTTTTGTGGGAACAATTATCTCCAAGCTTTCAAGAATCCTTACTGAATCTACGTAATTTCAGTTTATTCTACTTGTTAGCATATGGAAGTCTGTGCCATTCTACATAAAGTCTGTCCTAAATATGTCTTTTTCAAGCATTAGGGGTGAGGCTCTTAATTTTAATATTCTAAGATTTTGTGAACAAACCCATTTTATGTTCATGACCACTTTGCATGATTTTATCCACCTTATTAATATTTCCTGTCTTCCCCTTTGCAGACTGAAGAAATCTCACTTTTGGTATTTTTTCTTACATATGAGTACCGTCTCTTCCCCTCTGATCATTTCTGATACTTTCACTGGCTCTTCACCAGCTTCAAGTTGTTCCCCAGGATGCTTAGAGACCAGTTTCAATGTAGAGAGCCTTTCAGGTTTGGTGATATCATGGGTTTGTACATGGGGAAGAGAAAGCATAGGCTTGCTTCCAGTTTATGATGCTGAGGAAGTCAGGCTCATGGCAGCCTACTGCTGATATATTCAGGGCGCAGTCTACAGTAATTTTTTAAGGCCATCACTGACAGCTCTGAAGCCCCTGAAGGTACTCCCATGCCCACTACTCAAGGCTTCTGGATGCCTCACTGTGGTACAGAGCTGGGCTCTCAATGGCTCTGCCATTCAAGCAGAAGCTCTGGCCTGTCCTCAACAGGGTAAAAAGGTTTCAAATACAAGTTCAGGCATTCTTGTCTGTCATCCAAAGTTTAGACTACCTAAGATCAGGGGCGCATCATCAGATGGCTGGCTGAAAGGTGAAGAATTTTTCAGCCTCAGACGTTCATCAAGACTGTCATCTAGAGTATATAGAGGGGCTGCAATTTGCATCAGTGGAAGGAGTACCCATATTGAAAAAAATTACAGATCCTTGAGTTACTGAAGCACTTTACACTTCCCCATATTGAAGCTCATTGGACAGTTTTCTGACCATATAGAGTCAAATTCTTCCCTGTTGATTTAGCGTTCCATTCCTTGTAAGATCTGCCATTGGCACACTGGGAATATCATTTGTATGCCTTCTTCGAGATCATTTATAATAATATTAAATGAGAATCGTCCAAGTAGAGACCTCTAGGAACTCCACAAATAAGAGAGTGACATTCCTTGTGGTTCCCGAAAAAGTCCAGGGAGGGTCTGAGTTAACTAAAATATGTTAAAACCTGGAATATGCAACACAGATCACACAAAGCTCATTACTAATCACAGGACAATTTGCTTTTGGAAATCTCAACTAAACAAAAAAAAAGCTGTACGTTGGGAGAGTCAAAGTTTCATATTCAGTCCTCTTTTTCTATTCTTCTTTGTAGAGGGGAAACATTTATATTTGTTGATCTTTATCAATATGACACATCATCATAATAAGGAAGTTTTTTAAAAATCCCAACTGGAAAAGAGCTACTCACAGAAGCATTCCCGAAGTTCCCCACACCCTTGGGCCATGGGGATGTCAGCAAGACATCAACACCTTTAAACTGCGATGTGGCCTGCAAAGCTGCCTTCAGCGAGCTTACATCCTTGAAGGTGAAGCTGTAAGGTGGGGCAGGCTCAGCCAATGACTCTGTCCCACTGAGGTAAGCAATCTGCAGGCCTGAGGCACCAGTGAAAACACCTTTTCGACCTACACAGGGGGAAAAAAACTGTTAAGCTTTAGATAGACTGTTAGAACAAAAGCAGGATTATCATGGTGAATGGCCCACATACCTCAAGCACCTGCGAGAGGTTGTGAATCCTGTGTCAGGGCTGTTATACAACCATATAAAATGCTAAGTTAATCATTTTTTAATAAGTAAGAAAGGGGGGGCCTCTCCTCCTCCATAAAATATAAGATAAACTGAGTCTAAGAGAATAATAGGTCTAAGAGGACCCCAAGTGAATTGGTGAAAAGGCATTAAATAAAAAAAATTAACAACAGGTGAAACCAGAGACCGTTAAAGATGTACCACTCAATTAGGTGGAGAGAAGAATCCAAGCCAGAAGAGGAGTAGAAGCAGAACGGACTGAGAAATAAACTATACTTCTCTGGGAACTAGGGCACAACTTGGGTTGGGAAGTCTGGCCTTGGACAGGTGGAGAGAGACAGTAAGGCTTCTCTCTCTTTTAAAAAAAACTTTTTAAGGTGTATCTCTTACAGCAGATCTTAAATACAGTCTATGGACCTATAATTATATTATAAAAAGACTGGTTTCAATGTGTTGCTATCACTGGCTAACTAAAAAGAAAGGGATAGGGAGAAAAGAGAGGTCTATGTTGACAAGGCTACAACCCTAAGTCCTTCACAGACAGTGGAAAAAGGAAGAAAGAGACCTATGCCATCACAATTACAAAATGAACTACTGTGAGTTTACAGCCATTAATTCCCCATCAAACAATATGGTTATTTGCATGTTTCACTATCAATTCCTCAGGCCCTCTGAAAGAAATTCAGATTACTGTGTTACTAACCCTAAGTCTTACGCAGATCGGAAGGTAGTCAGACCTCCCAAGCTGTCCCTCGATCTCTGTCCAAATTCTAGAAAAGAAAGGAAGACTAGAAGACACCGGTAAGATTCAATAAACACAGATGTTAAGACTTAAGGGAAACAACAATGTAAATGGAAAGAACAGCGATAAAACAAACGAAACTACCTTCCAATCTCCATAAGACGTAATTAATAAACTCAATGCTTAATTGACTGCTAAAGAAGATAAGGCTAGAAAGCTGGGCTGAAGCCAGACTTTGAAGGGCCTAAAATGCCAGGATCAAGAATTTGCACTTTGTTCTGTTGTGGCCATTCAGATGTTTCAGTCACGTTTTCTTGGCAGAGATACTAGAGTCGTTTGCCATTTCCTTCTCCAGCTCATTTTACTAATGAGGAAACTGAAGCAAACAGGGTTAAGTGACTTGCTCCAGGTGACATAACTAGTATGTGTTTGAGGCTGGATTTGAACTCAGGTCTTCCTGCCTCCAGGCCCAGTGCTCTACCCACTATGCCAACTAGCTGCTCTACTTTATTCTGTAGGCAAAGGAAAATGCTACTGAAGATTTCTTAACAGGTATAACAATCACAACAGTGTGTTAGGAAGACTACTTGGGCACAGTTGTGAAGGACAGACTGAATGTGTGAAAATTGATTAGGAATCTACAACAATAGGTTAGGTGAAAAGAAATGACAGTGTGAACAAAGGTGGGCACAGTGGGAGCCGAGAAGTAGGGACAGATCCCAGAAATAACAGTGAGGCAGAATCAATGGTACTTGGCAACTGTTTGGAGGTGTGGGGTAAGGGAGAAGAAGCGGACAAAGATAAAGTTATGAGCTCAGGTTCCCTAGGAGGCTAGTAAGGCCATCAACAGAGACAGTTCTCTTTAGAGAGAGGCAGAGACTGTGAGAGTAAGATCACTTAGTGAAGTTTTTGGCCCTTGGTTCACAAAAATTATGATGCTAACTTTGGCAGATCCTACTCAACTAAAAAGGCTTAAGTTTGGACCCAGCAACAAATTGTGTGACTATTATCCAACAGACCAGGCTACCTCAGGGCAAAGATGCTCCTCACCCAGGTGGTGGCCACCAAGTAATCACCATTTTTTTTTTTTGGCCAACAGCCAAATCAGGAAACTGACAATTACGGCATGGAAGGGGCTGTGATTTGCTTTTGTGGAAGGAGTATACACATGGATGGAGTCACAGATCCTTGGCATCTTGAAAGGAATCTGATTATTTCATGTTTGGCAGTGAGTTCTACTAAGCATTCTTCATGGTTATCTCATTTAATGCTCAATTTATGTATTATTCACTTATTCTTATGTTTAAAAGCCTTATTCAAAAACTGTATTCCATTATTACTCTGAGGTCCTTTACCTTTCATTAGAATCATTTAAGAGTCTCAACTGCTCTGTCACAGTTGCTATGACTCTGTCCCTGAGAACAGTTTTACCATGTAGGACTGGGCTGTCATTCTCAGTTAGACTGTAATAACTAGGCTGAGAACTGCCCTACAATTTCCTTAAACTATAAAAGTACATGAAAGGAGGAGGGATTAAAATGAGAACCGTAAGATAGGAACTAAAGAAAGGATTCCATACAATGGTGCTGACCCCACACCTTCTCAAAGAACAGTCATATATGAACTGAGAGTGACCCTGTTAGGCTGGGGGCAGGAGTTATTATAATTTAAACTGAATTTATATACATATGAATTTACATGAAGCACAACTGTGTGGCAAATGGCTTCTGTATGACCAAATAAACAGAAATAAGTCCCAGAGGGTGATTCTTAGGGGAACACATGATGAAAGGAAATTCCAAAACTTAATAGCAAAGCTAAAGATCAGTAAAAAAGAAGGTCGATTAGACTGAAAAAGCAGAAGTTAGAAATAGCATAGGAAACCGGAAAAGGCAAATCTGATAAAAAGGGAATATTAGCAGAGAAAAGGGAAAAAAAGGAGGAAGGCTATGGCCCTTTGGTCACAGTATTTGGCAGAGAAATCGCTCTTACTCTCTTGTGTAACACAGGGGGCTGCCATAGGCCCATTTTATCAAACCACATTGTGAGCCCACTACTGAAACCCTTTTCTGATCCATACCTAGGTAAGTAATGTTTTCAGCTAGTTCACATCCATCAACATCTGGGAAGTACTTGACAGCTTCCTGGTCATTAGCACCGAGCACATAAGTTTGAATAGGTGCTTTGGAGAGGAAAAGAGATAACAAGAAACATCATATAATTACTGGATGTACTTCTGAGCATGAGAAAATTTTTCTATGCATGTGTAACATTTTTAACAAAAGCAAAAAAATCTGTATCACCACTCCATTAACAGCTCTACGTGATACACAAACTCCCTTCCAGGGTATGTCCTGTGCCCAACATTCAACAGCTGTGCTTGGCACATAGGCACTTAATAAATGCTTGTGGATTGGTTACTAAGTATTGTCGGACAATAGAGGTAACCACTTTATGTAATAAAAATGGATGCTGCAAATGACATAATAACAAGGACTAAAATTGGAAGAAGGAGGAGTCCCAGAAAACTTGATCCATCCAATTGACGGTTATTTTTATATAATGTACTCTCTGGAACAGACTCTACAGGGAGGTTCACAATATGAAATCCACAACCAATCTGTAACTTGAGCATTTTCCTTCCCAATGTGCAAGATGTAGTAGAAGGTAAGCACCCTGAGGGGAGGGGTTGTTCCATTTTGTCTGTGTATGTGGCTAGCACATAGTAGACTCTTAATGAATGCCAGTTGAGTTGAGCTGGCACAAGGAGGAAATCTTTAAGCAACAATACATAGGTAAAACATACCATGACCAAAAATCCTTGGTACTCTGATATTTATGTTTCAAAGTAGTAATTTCTGTACCTCTCTTGACTCCTGTCCTGTATTCCTCCCATTCGGTACTTGGTGTAGAACCGAAGAAATCACCTACACACAACAGCAGCTAAAATGAGATTTTAAAGCAGACAAATAAAACAAAAATATAGTCAATATACAATCTTCATAGTTAACATCTCCAAATGGTCAACATCAGGTTCTCCTTAACCAATCTGCATAACCTGAGCAACAATTCTGTGATTGGGTTCTAACTCTGTGAATGTTTTGTGGAATCTAAATCACAAATATAAACCATTCAGATCCTTAATAAGCACAAATCTATATCGCCTTCCATCGCCAAGGTAGCTACAAATTGGGAGAAGATAACAAGATATTCTCCAGGTATCAGTCCTATTGCCCCTTTATAACACTCAACTATCTCTGCTCTCTCTCTCTCCTTAAAGACACAGTCATAGAAACACATCACAAAGATCAGGTTATAAACATTCAAATCTCCAGTACTAGTCTCTAAATCTTTTTGCTGACTGACTATCCAAATGGTTCTGTTCTACGTGGTTGTATGGATTGGAACACCCAAGTCATGAATAACCGCAAAGCAATAAGCGCTAAGGAAAGTTTCCTAAAGCATCTCTCCTGGGTAATCTAGATTTTCCTACATCTAGGTCACACCCAATAGTAACTGATCTATCCAGTAACTTTTTTTTAAATTTGTTTTCAAAGTGGTTATAAAACATTTAATCCAGATCACAGAGAAGAGGTGACTAACAGTATCAAAGGCTGCAGAAAGTTCGAGAAGGATGAGGATTGAGAATAGGCCATGAGATTTGACAATTAAGAGATCATCACTGGTAACTGGAAAATGTCATTTCAGCTGAAATAATGAAGTTGGAAGCTAAACAGTAGAACTTTTAGAAGAGACAGGAGAATTGTAGACAGCTTTCTGAATGACTTTAGCTAGGAAAGGGAGAAGAGCTATAAGAGGATAGCTAGCAAGGACGGACAGGTCAAGTGAGGACTTTTTAAAGACGGGGAGATGTGCAGGTGACTAGGCAATTAAGAAGCAGCTAGGAGACTATGCTATTGGATACTACCTACTCCTTGTCAACTCCTTTTGTATCCCTCCACAGTACTCTGCATAGAAAGGTACTCAATGTTTGTAAAATGTAACTGAAGTAATGTGTCAGAATTAAGACACCATTTATTTCTCCCCAGCGGTCTTTTGCCTAGTTGAGTCAATATACTTGCTATCTCTGAACATAGTTCATTACTCAGTCAAGCCTACGTTATTAATGTATCTTCCTCTCCGTTAACCCTTGTCTATTAACTATTCTTTTCAAGTGCCTACCATTGCAATGTACTGGGATGGGTGATGAGATACAACAACAGAAACAAAATGGTGCCTGGCCTCAAGGAACCTCAAGGAGGTTATAACATGTGGACAGATAAGTAATTACAAAGTATATACAACATGATTTCAAGAAACACATAGCATTAAAAACTAGGGCAATCAGGAATGACTTCCTGTAGGAGGTACCACCTAAGCTGTGATCCGAAAGGAGCTATAAGGTAGAGTTGAGAAAGGATGCAATCCTGATATGTGAAAACATTCATGTAAAGGCATGGAGGTGGGAAATGAGGAAATGTCCTGAATAATTAACATGACTAGAAAGGAGAGTTTGATAGGAAATAACATGGAAAAAAAGACTAACAAGTAGGTGAGAGTCAGACTATGGATGGATTTAAATGCCAGGCTAAGGACTTTATATTTTATCTAAGAGGCAATGGGAAAACAATGAAGATTGTTTAGTAGTTGGGTGACATGGCCAGATCTGTATTTTAAGAATATTAGTTTGGCAGATCTGAGGGAGATGATAAGAGCCTGAAGTAGTATGGTAGGAATGGATGTGAATAGAAGGAAAGGGATGGACATGAGAGATGTTCTGGAAATAGAACCAACAAGACTTGGGAATTCATTCAATAAAAGAAGTCAGAGAGAAGGAAGAGTAGAAGAATGGCCTTGAAGTTCTGAAGGTACACTAGAATGATGATAATGTCTTCAACAGAAACAGGGTAAGTTTATAAGGTGGGGAAAGAATTGAATTTGATATTCAATGGGACATCCAAAGAAAGGTATCCAAGAGACAACTGGTGATGGGACTAGAGCTTAGGAGATATAGACATTTGAGAGGTTGTTTGTAAAGAGATGATAATTGAAACCAGCAAAACTGAGCATAATCCTTCAGGGAAAAAAATAGACATTCAGTGAAATAGAGGACTTTCAAGCATTCTTGATGAAAAGACCAGAGCTGAATAGAAAATCTGACTTTCAGATACAAGACTCAAGAGAAACATGAAGAGGTAAACAGGAAAGAGAAATCATAAGAGACTTATTAAGGTTGAACTGTTTACATTCTGCATGGAAAGATGATATTTGTAACTTATGAGTCCTTTGTCAGCATTAGCGTAGTTGGAAGAGAAAAAATTCTATGTATGTTTGTGTATCTATCTATCTATCTAGATAGATAAATGGAGGGCACAGGGTGAGTTGAAGATGAAGGGGTGATATCTGGAGAATAAAATTAAGGGGTGAGAGAGGACTATATGGAGAGAAGGAGAAAGGGAGAGGTAGAATGGGGTAAATTATCTCACATAAAACAGACAAGAAAAGGCTTTTACAGTGGAGGGAAAATGGGGGAAGGTGAAAGGGAATGAGTCAATCTTATTCTCATCGGATTTGGTTTAAGGAGAAAATAACATACACACTCAACTGGGTATGGCAGTCTATCTTACCCTACAGGAAAATGGGGGGGGGAAGGGGACAAGAGAACAGGAGGATGATAGAGGGGAGGGCAGATTGGAGGAGGGGGTAATCAAAAGCAAATACTTCCAAGGAGGGCCAGGGTCAAAAGAGAGAATAGATTAAATGGGGGGTAGGATAGGATGAGGGAAATATACTTAGTTTTTCACAACATGACTACTATGGAAGGGTTTTGCATGACTACACATGTATAACCTGTGTTGAGTTGCTTGTTTTCACATGCAACTAACTGGGAAATAAGACATATAGGAAATGGGGTATAGAAATCTATCCTGCCCTACAGGAAAACTGAAGGGGAAGGGGATAAGAGAAGGGAGAAATAGAAGGGAGGGCAGATTAGGGGAAGGGGTATACAGAATGCATGCCATCTTGGGGTAGGGGGAGGGACAAGATGGGGAGAAAATTTGGAACTCAAAATCTTATGGAAGTGCATGTTGAAAACTAAAAATAAATAAATTTTTTAACAAGTTAAAAAAAAAAAGAGATGATAATTGAATCAATAGAAGCTGATGAGATCATCAACAGAAATTGTAGAGAGAGAACAGGAGCCAGGATAGAACCTTAATGGTCCTTCAAAACCCGGCTCAAAAATCACCTTCTCTAAGAAAATGATTTTTGCTAATTGTACTCCACTCTAATTTATCTTCTACTATGGCAGACAGGTGGTACAGTGGATAGATGACTGTCCCAAAATCAAGAAGCCAGGCCTCAGATACTTAGTAGCTGTGTGACCCTAGGTAAGTCACTTAATCTCTATCTGCTTTCAGTTTCCTCATCTATATAAAACGGAGATAATAATTGCCTCTGTCTCTCAGGGATGTTGTGAAGATCATGTGAGATTAATATTTTAAAGTGCTTTGCAAACTTTAAAACACCATAGAAATGCTAGCTATTATTATGGCTCCTCATTATTGTGTACATTAGTCACTTACACGGCATGTGACTATCTTGAAAATGTTGGGAAGGGGCTTATATTCCAACTTAATTGGTCTACTTGTTGTTTCCTACATGTGATATTCTATCTTCTTTCCTTATACCTTTGCTGTCTCCTATCCCTGGATTGCCTGTCCTCCTCACTGACACTCTTGGAATGCTTGTTTCCCTCTAAAACTCAGCTTAAGCACCACCTCTTGTCCAAGAGACTCTTTCTGATTCCCCCAGTCATAGTACTACTCTCCTCCTCTCAAACTACTTTGTTTCATCTTGTATATCTTTCATATTAACTTATCTGTCAACAGGTTATGTTCCCTCCTCTTCCTTCCCCTTCCATCCCCCATTGTGGGTTCCGTGAGGACAGGGACTGAGTCATTTTTGTCTTTGTATCTCCCCTGCCCAGCTCAGTGCCAGGCAAAGAGCACATAATAAATTGTTTAGCTGAATCGATGAAACACACAGTGAGTATCTATGTTCTCAGTCCTATCAAACAATCCAACCATAATAAAATACATTACACTTAACCCCCAACTGTACTCTTCTCTCCTGGAGTTACAATCAATTCCATTCCCTAACCCTTAGTCAAAAATTGCCAAAGGGGACTAAGGTAGTCTATGGCTGTGCCACAGAGCAAGGAGATAGTTGGGAAATGCTGAACTAGACACCAGGTTATCTATTTTGGACATTTTTTTCAATCTCCATTTAGAACGGTGCTGGGCTTACGACAGATATTCACCCTGACAACAAAACGGATTTATTAAATTAGGAACTCAAGAAATTTGTCTCAGTATGTTTTCCTGGGACAATGGCATTAATTTTCAATATGAAAAGAAACATCTTACATCAAAGTTTCCACTTTTCTTCTGAATTGCTCGGATTCTATTGAATAAAACATCAAACTTTCCTTCAACATCGCCACAAGCCAACCTGTAGGCAAGAGATAAACATCAAATTAATTCAGTTAACACTAACACCTGTCGAGTTCAGTACAAACAGTTCTTACTGTACTCATATGGATTGCTGATCTTTTTAGTTAGGATTATCTCCGAGCTGAGTTCCATAACTCCACGTGCCTGTGAGACATCAGTACCCGAGTGTCTTGCTGTCATCTCAAACTCAACATCTCTAAAACCAAAATGTCCTTCCTCTGAAAAAGTGTTTCTCTCTGTTTTCATCTTCATACTGTTCTTCCTGTCACCTAGGCTTAAAAATCCCAGGATCACTTTGAATCCTTCTTCGACTCATCTCCCACACTGCCCCTAAGTGGCATGGAGAGTCCTTTTCTCTGTGTCCTTTCCATCTGTCATTGTTCCCTGATCCTTTCAGCTCTGAATCTCTCATGTCACTGTTGGGTCTTTCCTATTAAGGATGAAGCAGCTCAGGCCTCAAGACACTAGCTGTGTGACCTTGGGCCAGTCACTTAACCTCTGACTGCCTCAGTTTTCCCAACGATGAAATGAGAATAACAGCACCTACCAAACAGGGTTGTTGTGAGGATCACATGAGTAACATTTGAAAAGCACACTGCAAACCTTAAAGTCCTGTATAAATGATAGCTGGTATTAATCACTGCCTCCTCCAAATTCATTTTCCCTCAACAATACTGCATCTCCCCCCTACATGCTACTAAACTATCCCCCCCCCCTCCCGTTTAACTACTGTAGGAAGGAGGGAATCCTGAGGGTGGCGGGTCCCCAACAAGATGGGCCTGAGGAGAGAAGGGGGAGCCTGCCTGGAACGTGAAGTAGAAAGGAGGGGGAATAGAGGGAAACTCGAAGGCTGAGGGTGGGAAAAAGGGGGCAATAGGGGGTCCTGGGGGTGGGTCCCGAGGGGCGGAAATGAGGCGAGTCCCGGGGGGCGGAGATGAGGGGAGTCCCAGAGAAGTCTGAATGGGGATGGGAAATGAGTCTGGGGGCTGGCACATGGACCGAAAGGCGCGAGGCAAACACTGCAGTGTGTCTGGGTGGAGGCCGAGGGGAGGCGGGCAGCAAGCGAGCCCGGAGCGGGAGATGAACCCAAGCACGGCGGGCGCTGCCAGTTCTCCCACCCTTAGGCTCCAGACCCCAAATCCCACTCCCCCAGCTGCCCTCCGCAAGGATTTCCGGTTCCAGGTCACTCACAGACGCAGGGGCTTCTGAGCCATTCGGCCCGGCCGTCTCGAGCAGATGAACGACCTGCTGAGCGAGGGAGCCCGGCGCTCGCACCTCGGCCCAGTGCGCAGGCGCCCAGAGTGGGAGCTCCAGACCCTCCCTCCTGTGAGCCTACGCATTCGACGTGGTACGGGAAGTACGGCAGGACAAAAGCCTTCGCCTTAAGCATGATCGCGCCCTTCTCGCTCCTTTTCCTGTCGCCTCGCAGATCGTGCCCTAAGGGTGGAGCCAGACGGCGGTGGGCGGCTCCTTTACTGAACGTGCGTCCACCTCATTCTCCGCCCCAACCCCAGCCCAGCGTCTAGCCCACAGAGGGCCTGAGGAGTGCCCAGGTGGCAGAAGGATTCATCACAGAGGGTCACAAGTCGGCATTTATTATTTAAGTTGAATAACAGGTTATTAAGGGGGTGGGGGGGAGCCCAGGGGAGGGGGAAGAAGAGAGGAGCCCGGGAGCAGGGAGCCGGGAGCCCTCTCCTGTGTCTGCTCCAGACGGGGTTGATCCTGATTTCTGAGCCTTGGTCCAGGGCACACGATGAAGCACACGATAAGATGAGGTTCCAGGGGCTATAGGTTTAGGAAACATCAAGAGGTGGCCAAAGTTACACATCCAACCAGAGGTGAGGACTGAGATTCTCCTTGGATCAGCAGCACCGCTTCCTTTTAGGAACTGAAGCATAGTGTAAGTTCCATCCCACTTATTTCAGCTCTTATTCCTGTAGTTAAAGTCTTTGTGCTAATGAATTCTTTCATCGCCTCTCTAACTTCTTGTACTTTGCTTCTGCAGGAAAAAAAAAACACAACTCTTTAACAAATATTTTTGGATGACAGATTTTAAGCAAATGTAAAAAAAATGTATCTCAGCATTGGTTCGAGATATAATCAAATCATTTATATGCAGTTTAAAGTGAGGGACCATCTACAGGTGCAAGTTTAGAGCCCATTATGAGATTTTTAGGCCTCCCCCCACCTGCCCTACTCTGGCTAAGCTCCTGTAGCTCTTTGCCAGCAGACCTGTGCTCCATCTCAAGCATGGACAGACACTCTGAGACGGCCTTAAAAAACTTTGTCATTAATAGGCTGGAGCTTCAGCACAGTAGGAAGAACCTTTTGGCCCCACATTACCAAACCTCACTCCAAGAAGCCATGTTCAGGGATAACTACAAAAGTAGCTTTTTAGGGTTACAAAGTTCAATCTACTGTGGTCCTCTTTTATCTTTAAAACTACTACACAAGTGATATCCCTCTTTGGATTCCAACCTCTCTAGTCCTTAGCCTTTGATTATAGTTATAGACTCTCGTGTCTCCAGATACAAAACTAGCCAGATACAGGACTCTGTTTCTCCCTGTCACACCTGAATAGATGGATCCATTTCAGCCAATTAAACACAACTCAAAAAGGTTTTCAACGTTAGTTCTTAGTGAAAATGAGGATATGGAGTAAGCACTCTGGTATAACAATGGTTAACAAATATATCAGCTTCCTGCTTGAAAGAAACACAAAATTAGAAAATCAGAATAACTGAATATGCTTTTTTTTGAATTTTTTTTTAATGGCAATTGGGGTTAAGTGACTTACCCAGGGTCACACAGCTAGCAAATGTCAAGTGTTTGGTCTGAGATTGGATTTGAACTCAGGTCCTCCTGACTTCAGGGCTGGTGCTATATCCGCTGCGCCACCTAACTGCCCCTGAATATACTTTTCTTTAAAATAGTTCTGGCAAGACTCACTAATGTTCCTAAGTCCTCAAATTCTTTGAGGTAAACCTTCTCAGCAATCTGCTTTACAAATAAATTACACTTGAGGCATCCTCCAGGGAGGACCAGAGACACACCATCTGCCCAATTACCCCACTGACTCCATTCCAGTCACCAACCAGTCCAGGTCCAAAGAGCTGAAGAACGTCTATTCAATACTTCAGTGAGTGGGGGCAAAGTTGACCTGCATGACTGTTATAAAACGAGCCATGCCCCAGGACATTCAACTACCTAACAGCAACCTCTAAACATCAAAAAGACACTTGTCATCTGTCTTGTTCCTTCTTCACTTTTCTTTCTTCAGAATCTTGACTCTATAGTTAACCATTTCAGCCTTACCCTTTCTAGCCCAAGTCCCTTGCCACTCATACCCCACTGTATCACTATGGCTCATCCTTTCCCAAACCCCAATCCTAGATTATTTCTTCCATCCAACCTTCTCTGTTCCTAAATCCAAGCTGCCACATATCAATAAATAAGGTCATACAAGTTGAATCCATAACAAATTTATTTTATATAATTTCAACTGGGGTCCTCACTACTCTGTTAATTCTTTTATTCTTCCCTGATTGACTCTTATTCCAACTTACCTTAGCAACTGTTTGAGTCTTCTCTCTTTCTTCTCATGCTTCCTACACCAATAACCCTCTTCTTATCAGCAGAGGATTGAACTAAATACTTCACTAAAAGAATGGTAGCAGTTCCCTCATTTCCTCAACTATACATTCCAAATCTCCTCAAAATCTTTAAAGATGAGACAGACCTTTTCCTTGCAGGTATCAGCCCCTCTTCATAGACTGCAGGAGCATATCCCTGTGATCATTCCGTAGGCTTCCTGAACGTTAAATCTCTCCTTATCCGCTGTCTCCTTCTTAACTACTTAAAAATAGGTCTCTTTCTATCCTTTAAAAAAAAAATTGAATCTCCCACTCCCTCAAGCTATTGTCTTGTATCTCCCCTCAATTTCATGCCAAACCCCCAGGGAAAAACAAAAACCAAAACTACTTACACCTGTTGCCCTCCACTTAACTCTGCAATCTGACTTCCAAACTTAACACAACTCTCTCCAAAGTCACTGATCTCTGAGATAACCAGATCTGATGGCCTTTTCCCAGTGTTGACAGCTCCGTGGCATTTGATCCCCTGACTCTCCTCCCTCCCCCTTCTTCCTAAATGCTTCCTGTCCTGGGGTTTTTACCCCGCTGCTCTCTCCTGCCTATGTAATGGCTCCTTTTTAGACTCCTTTATAAGACCATCATCCTTGTCCTATCCTATATGCATTTCAAACTTTACATGTCTCAAACGAAACTGAATACCTTTTCTTCTCTGCATGGCCGTAACCCACCTCCTTCTGAACTTCATTCCTTCAGGTATGGCTATCACCATCCTTCCAGTCACCTAGATATGCAACCATGGAGTCATCCTTGACTGTACTTTCATGATACTTCTCACATCCATTTCACTCCGTTCATTCACACAGCTATCACTCAAGTTCAAGTCTTCATCACTTAGACTTTTACATTAGATTACAAACTGATTTCCCTGAATCTGTCTCTTCTTCCAGTTGCCAAATGGCCATTCCTAATGACACAGGTTTGACTATATCATTCCCTTGATCCAAGAAGCTCCAGTGGTTCCCTCTTTCCTGCAAGACAGAATATAACCTCCTCTGTTTTTATAATTAGGGTCCAACCTCCCTTTCTAGGTTTATTGCTTATTACTCTACTTCACAATCTTACATTTAAATCAAACTGGTCTCTTTGTTTTTTCTCACATAAGACATCTTGTCTCCCATTGCCTATCACAACATCTGCACCCAAGTATGTGCTTGATACATGCTTAAATATTAGCGTATGCTCCCTCCCCAGGCAAGTCACTAAATGAAATCATTACCTAGTTTCTTTGAATATGCATCCAACTTGTAAGCTGCCTGCTCAAGAGCTGCTACTTGCTCCTCAATTAAAGTGATCTGATCCAGATAAGGCTGAAGTGCTGCATCTAAAAACAAAAACAAACTAGATCTTTTGGCCTAGGGAGAGACAAACATCACCCTCAATAAAGACACATCTCCACAAGTATCTCCAGACTGATCTCCCCTTGCTGCACTCTTACTAAAAAACAAAACAAAACCAAAAGCTACCTAACAGCTGTGAGGACATCCCTTTAAGTGCTTATAAGGAATTCATTGAGAGTTTTAAAAAAAAAAAAAAGGGATGCCACCTATCACGCTGATTAAAAGTGGGAATCCTACAGAGACTAGTAGGAAAGATATGGTCCTTTGCAAGACGAGAGTACCAGATTTGGAGTTAGAAGATTTGGGTTAAGGCCTTTACCACTAATTAGCCATGAGACCACCGGCAAGTAATTTAACAGTTTCATCATCAGCAAAACAAAGAAAACAATATCTGGCCTAGGACTACTTCTCTCCATCAGTAATAATGTCACAATGTCTCTATAGCCTTCCTTGAAAGGCAGAAAGACAACATAGGAAAGAGAATCTAAACACTAGAAAGAATATTTTCTAGATGGTAAGGTATGTTAAGTCATCAAGTTCTGCCTTGGCCTTGATGAAGCATGCTATATATTGGAAGAGGGACTAAATTTGGAGTCAGGACCCAGGTTTAGCTCCCAATTCTGTTATTTACTTTGTGTGATCAGGGCATTCACTTAACCTGAGTGTAAATTTCCACATAGGAAAAATGTGAAAAGAGCATCCCTAATCCTCCACCCAGCACTATCCCCAATCCCCATCCTCATCCTAACTCAGTTTGTTTTCATAACTAAGCCTCAAGCTCCAGAACAGGGAGTGGCACAGAGCAGGCCCCAATAGCTTTGAAGTGAGAAGATAGAAGTAAACACTTACATTTCTGGTTTAAGTCTTTTAGGTTTCTACTTATGTTTACTGCAATATCTTTCATTTCTAGATACTTCAAGCTAGTCAGTTTGTTCATATTTTCCAGAAGTTTATAGTCTTCACTGGTGGCTTTAAAACAAAGAAAAAATGGTGAAACCTTGGATATCATACTTTAGGAAACAGATTCTCCCTGCAGCCCAGGCCTCTCCCTGCTAGCAAAGCCAGGTGGGGCAAGGGCTGCTTATGGACAGAGGGGCTGGGGGTGGGGTCCTTTGACAGAGGCCTCGGAAGGCCGAGTCCAGACACCCCGCAAGCAGTCAAGAGCGGAATCCTCGAGGGTACGGGGCCCGTTCCATGTTTGTCTCTGGCTGCCCAGTACCTTGCACACCGCAGGTGTGCCTCACCTGTCAGCTCGCCTGTTAGGTACGTGGCCATTTTGGAGAACATGTCCTGGCACAGCCCCGTGATGTCCGCCTCGGCGGGCTCCGTGGCCTCCTCGGCCGTCTCCACCACGGCATCGTCTAGGCCGGGGAAGGGAAGGAAAAAGGACGGAGGGAAGGATGGGGATGGGGAAGGGGGGAAGGGAAGGGAGGGGAGGGGAA